ACCCAAACTCTCATTGTAGATAAACTCCTCAGGATTCACTAATTCTGCAAAATGGCTGCCATACAATGGGACAGCCTTTCACTGCAGTCTACTCTCTTTCTGCTGATATAATAAGATGTTAAATAAGCAGAAAATAAAGCAACAGGAAAGAGTCAAAGTCTAGGTAACACTGCTCGACACTGGGATTCACGTTTGCTCCAGATCTGTGGTGGCCAGCCTTTATAGTCAGCCAATATTTTCTTGATTATCTATTTGTGAATTTATATAATAATCCTTGTACTTGATATAGCGCCTTATCACATCTCTGAGACGTGTCAAAGTGCTTTACAGTGTATATTTTAAAGTGAATTGAGTGTATATTTTGTGGGTGAAACTATAAATACTATAAATCAAGAAATATTCAAATCAAGAAAACAATCAAGAAATATTCAAATCGATCAAACACAGACTTACCTAGAATCATGCAAATGTTAGGGAGGACTGCCTCTTGACAGCCCACGGGCCACAGATTGTCCACCACTGCTCTAGATCAATGAATCCTCAACTGTTTGTGGAACACTATTGTGCGCAACTGGCTGCCGTGTTTCACCAACAAAATATATGGTCAATTCACTTCACTCTCAAAGACGGGATAATCCTGGAGGCGAAGAACAACCCCAGGCTTCTGTTTTCTACCACATCCCGACTCCTCCGTACCCCCCGCCACCCCACTCCACTTCTTATCTCTCAGCTCCACCTCCTTGCCCCACATATCACAGACATCGTCAACCTGTCCCTCTCCTCTGGCTCTGTTCCCATTCCCCTAAAAACTGCCATTATCACTCCCACTTTGAAAAAACCCTCCCTTGATGTGTCGCAGCTATCAATCTCCGGCCCATCTCCAACCTCCCCGTCCTGTCCAAGGTCCTTGAAAGAGTTGTCGCCTCCCAGCTGCGCTCTTTCCTCTCCACCCATTCATTATTCGAACCCCTTCAGTCGGGTTTCCGTGCTGCCCATAGCACAGAAACCACCCTGGTCAAGGTCACCAATGACATCCTGACCATCTGCGACCAGGGCTCCCTCTGCCTCCTCGTCCTCCTCGATCTATCGGCCGCATTCGATACGGTCGACCACGCTATCCTCCACCGCTTGTCCTCCCACCTCAACCTTCAAGGCCCTGTCCTTGAGTGGTTTAGGTCGTACCTCTCCCACCGTCTTCATTTTGTTTCCACACACGGCTTTTCCTCCGGCCCCCGCACTGTCTCGTGCGGTGTCCCTCAGGACTCTGTCCTCGGTCCCCTCCCCTTCACCCTCTATATGCTCCCCCTGTGGTGACATCATCCGCAAACATGGGGTTAACTTCCACATGTATGTGGATGACACCCAACTCTACCTTTCCTCCTCTACCCTCAACTCCACGACCCCCGATGTCCTGACAGCTGTCTGTCCGTCATCGAGTCCTGGACGAGAGAAAACTTTCTTCAGCTCAACGTGCACAAAACTGAGGCCCTCCTGATTGGCTCACGTCAGCGCCTCCGCACCTCAGGCGCTGACAGCATCAGCATCCAAGGCTGCACTCTCCACCTCTCAAAGCCATCAGGAACCTCGGGGTTCCCCTCGACCCTGAGCTGTCCTTCCTCCCTCATATCCGCGTCACAACTGGCACCGCCTTCCATCACCTCCAGAACATCGCCAGACTACGGCACTACCTCACCCCTCACGCGGCTGAAACTCTGGTCCACACCTTTATCAGCTCAAGGCTGGACTTTGGGAACTCTCTCCTCGCCGGCCTTCCCGGCCCTCCCTCCACACTGCAGGTCATTCAGAACTCTGCAGCTCGTGTACTGTCCCACACCAGACACCGCGACCACATCACTCCCACCCTCACCCTCGCCCTCGCCCTCACCCTCACCATCACTCCCACCCTCGCCCTCACCCTCACCATCACTCCCACCCTCGCTCGCCTCCACTGGCTCCCCATCCCCCAGAGGATCGAATTCAAGATCCTCATCCTCACCTACAAGGCCATTCACGGCCTCGCTCCCTCCTACCTCTCTGACCTACTATCCCCCTCCCTACCTGCCCATACCCTCCGTCCTTCTGGCTCCAGTCTGCTCCACATCCCCCGCCCCAACCGCCCTACCATCGGTGGCCTTCAGCCTCTCAGCCCCGAGGCTCTGGAACTCTATCCCCAGTGCCTTCGCCGCTTCCTCCCTTTCCTCCTTCAAGGCCGGTCTCAAGACCTTTCTTTTTGACCTTCAGCCTTCAGCTCCCCTCTCGACTCTCTACCCCCTCCTCGCTCCCTCCCTTCCCTCACCATTTCCCCCCTGCTCGGGTCCTGACCCAACTGTTCAGCGCCTTGGGATGTCCTCCCGACGTGAAAGGCGCTCTTTAAATGAAATCTTGTTGTTGTTGTGATAATAATAATCCTTGCATTTGATATAGCGCCTGATCACGTCTTCGAGATGACTCAAAGCACTTCACAGAATATACTGTAAAGTGAATTGACTATATATTTTGTGGGCGCAACGCGGCAGCCAATTGCGCACAGAGCAGTGTCTCACAAACAGCCACGGATTGAAGTGACCAATTTTCTTTTGAAGGAATTATTACACCCGGATAAGTGATCCATCAATCGACTAACAGCCAGGTTCCTACTTACTGCTGAGTAAACAGAGGCGTGTGGAGTAAGCAAACTTGCCCAACGTTTTGCCCTGTTCGGGAATCAAACCCAGGTCTCTCACTTGCGAGGCGAGAGCTCTAATCACTGAGCTACAGGACTCCTGATAATTCCTGATAAGTGATAAGGCGCTATAGAAAATGCAAGGATTATTATTAATAGTCATCTTACAACTCACATTCCTCCTACTTTCTGATCAACATAGAGTAGTCCCAGCCCTGGGAGGCGTCATCTCCAATTTCCACCAGGTCTGTCGGCAGCAAGAGCCGCCTCTCGTTTTCCAAGATAACAACTGATCTCAGACAAACAACTAAAGGAGGGGAAGTTGCAAAATACAAGAACAACAACAACTTGAATTTATATCGTGCCCTTCATCTGGGATAATGTGCCAGATCACTTGACAGTGGCGGAGTCTGACACCGAGCCAAGGGGAGAGAGGGGGGGACGGTAACCGTAAGCACAATCAAAAAGGAAAGTCTTTAGGCGAGACTTGAAAGAGGGGAGGGAGGGGGCAAGGCGGAGGGATTGAGGAACAGAATTCCAGAATTTCGGGGTGTAGTGGCTAAAGGCACGGCGTCGAGGGACAAAAGGAGGCAACGACCTCCAATGGTGACAAACCTGAAGATGCAATGCAATAAAGGAACTTGCGCTTCTCACCAAGCTGGCACAAGAGCAGGGATGCCATGTGGAGGTTAAAGGGGAGAACTTGCTTCTAAAATCTCTGTCTCGATTCCCTCTCCTGCCTTCACAAATTTTTAAAACATCCCTTTGGCTTTGGGCGACATCTCTCCCTCCTCGTCACTGTTTGGGGCTTAAAATAATACGCATTGAGCACCTTAAAATCTTCACGCTACGTGAGAGATACTGTACAACATACTGGGTAGGTTGTTGATGGAAACTCAAACTGCCTCTTCCCATCTCAGCAAAGCCACTCAAACCCACACAGCGACCGTTGACTCGATCGCAACTGTACAACTACACACAGCGGGGACTGACCATAATAATTATGGGCGACTCCCAGTCAACAATATTGATAGTTGACCCCATTAACCGCAGTCGACTTCAAATTGTGACACTTCCCACAAAGACAGCCTGACCCTTCCCTAATCGTGACAGCCTTCCCTCCCCCCTATAGTGACAGCCTGCCGCACCCAATAGTGATAAACCCCAATAGTGATAAACCCCAATAGTGACAGCCCCTCTACCCCCAATAGTGACAGCCCCTCTCCCCCCAATAGTGACAGCCCCTCTCCCCCCAATAGTGACAGCCCCTCTCCCCCCAATAGTGACAGCCCCTCTACCCCCAATAGTGACAGCCCCTCTACCCCCAATAGTGACAGCCCCTCTACCCCCAATAGTGACAGCCCCTCTCCCCCCAATAGTGACAGCCCCTCTCCCCCCAATAGTGACAGCCCCTCTACCCCCAATAGTGACAGCCCCTCTCCCCCCAATAGTGACAGCCCCTCTACCCCAATAGTGACAGCCCCTCTCCCCCAATAACCCCCCCAATAATGACAGCCCTCTCCCCCCAATAGTGAGAGCCCCTCTCCCCCCAATAATGACAGCCTCTCCCCCCATTAGTGAGAGCCCCTCTCCCCCAATAGTGACAGCCCCTCTCCCCCCAATAGTGACAGCCCCTCTCCCCCAATAGTGACAGCCCCTCTCCCCCCAATAGTGAGATCCCCTCTCCCCAATAATGACAGCCTCTCCCCCCCAATAGTGAGAGCCCCTCTTCCCCCAATAGTGACAGCCCCTCTCCCCCCCATCAGTAGTGATAGTTGAGAGGGGGTAAAGGCGCGCTCCCAGAAAAAGTGTAGGTGGACGTGGGGGGGAGTTGTGTCCTCGCGCTCCCCTCAGTGTAATGGATGGGGGTGGGGGTGGGGGTGTATTTAGCATTCCCTCCACCCCCCCCCCCCCCACCGGGAGCAGTGAGCGCGCCCAACCGCCGCCGCTCGCGCTGTCAGTCTCTCCCGCTCTCCTCCTCAGTCGGGGGCTGCAGACGGCGGCCGCTCACGGACGCCCCCCCCCCCCCTTCTCCCCCACCCCACCCCCGACCCCCTCATCCATAAGCCCTCTCGGGTTTACACTCCGCGGCCATCCTTTCAGGTCGGGGGTGGTATTGGTATTTTTTTTCCTTATTTTTTTTTCGCGACAACAAGCTCGTCCAACAAAGCCTATCTATCGGTCCCCCCCACACCCCCCCCCCACTCACCGCACCGCCTCCTCCTCTTCCCCTCACCGCCTCCTCCTCCTCCTCCTCCCTTGTTTTGTTATGGAAGAAGCTGCCCCCAACCGCCCGCCCGCCCGCGCCCCCCCCCCCCCCCACCTCCCCCGATCTTACCTCGGGACAGATCGAGCGGCACGTTCTCTTCTCCGCTGTCATTCCGCCCTGTTTCGGGAGAGAGAGAGAGAGGGAAACAAAAGGGAAGAGAGAACCGGCGTCAGAAGCGAGAGAGGGGGAGAGAGAGAGAGAGAGAGAGAGGGGCAGAGGATGTGTGTGCGTGTAAAATACCTCATCCGCCACCATCACACCGACAGAACGTGAGTCGCGAGCGCTTTAGCGGCCCTGGCCGACGTCAAATGAGCGCGAGATTTTTTTTCCCGTCCGCCCTCTGCCCCCCTCTTTCCCCCTCGCCCCGTACCTCGGATGCGGAGGTTCCTGAGCGAGCGGCCGCGGACGCTGACCGCCATGTTTCGGGCAACTGACTCATCCACCGCCGCCGCCGGGGAGGAGGGGGGGGGGGGGGGGCGGGGTGTGGAGACGGCGTGGGCGTGCGTGCGTGCGTGCGTGCGTACGTGGAGCGGAGCGACGCAAGGCACGCGCCGCGACGCGCAAAGGAAAAGCACGCACGCCACGTGCGTGATGTGCAGCACGCTCGCTCTGACGTCGGCACGCACTCACGCCGACGTAGGCACGCACGGCGGAGGATCTCATGAATGGACGGGGGAAAGAACGTCTGCACACGTCCAGACTACGCCCCCTCGTGGGAGCTTCACACAACTCCATCACCAGCCCCTCAGCAACACTTCAACAATTATTGTTATAATGATAATCTTTGCATTTGATATAACAATATAATAATAATACTAATCCTTGCATTTGATATAGCGCTTTTCACGTCTTCTCAACGTTCCCAAAGCGCTTCGCAGAATATACTGTAAAGCGAATTGACTGTATATTTGTGGGCGAACGCGGCAGCCAATTGCGCACAGCAATGTCCCACAAACAGTCGTGGATTGAAAATGACCAATTTATTATTGTTTTGGTTTTGGAGGATTATTATTAGGCTCTGTGTGGAGTAAGGAAACTTGCCCAAGGTTTCGCCCTCTGCCTGGAATTGAACCCCAGGTGTCTCGCTCGCAAGGGGGTGCTCTAACCACTGAGCTACAGGACCCCACTTTTGACTCCATTTGATACAGCGCCTTACCACGTTGTCAAGACGTCTCAAAGCGCTTCACAGAATATACTGGAAAGTGTACTGCGGATGTATGTGGATGACACTGAAGTTTCGCCCACAAATGTACAGTCAATTCACAGTATATTCTGTGAAGCGCTTTGAGACGTCTCGAAGATGTGAAAAGCACTATATCAAATGCAAGGAGTATTATTATTATTATTATAAGTCTACTTCTCCTGCTCCAACTGCAATTCCTGTCAGCTTGTTTGACAGACATCAAGGCTTGGATGAGCGCAAAGTTCCTGCAGCTGAATGTCAACAAGATGGAAGCAATACTCCTTGGTTCCCGTCAACGTCTTCTCTCCTGCAAGTCTGAACTCCTCAACCTCCGCGGGCTTTCCCTCAGACTCTCCGAACCTATGTGCAATTTAGCCGTCAGGTTCAATCCCCAGCTTTCCTCTCTGCCCCACATCCATTCCCTGACCGCTTTTTTCCACCTCCGCCACATTGCCCACTTCCGCCACATTGCCTGCCTCCGTCCATACCTCACAACCGACGCAGCTGCAACCTTCGTCAACGCCTTCATCACCTCTTGGCTGGACTATTCCAATGCCCTGCTCGTTGGTCTCACCAGCTCCACCATACACAAAACAATTAATTCAGAATTTTACCGCCCGGATACTCACCCGCACAAAATTCCTTACCTCCATCACACGAGTCCTTGCCAGGCTCCATTGGCTTCCAATCACCCAACGCATCAACGTCAAGATCCTCTCACTCGTTTTCAAATCATTTAATTCCCTGGAACCTCCCTATCTCTCTGACCTGCTCACCCCACACTCCACCACCTGCTGCCTCCGCTCGGCTGACTCCGGCTTCTTATTTGTCCCTCGTTCCACCATCAATGGCTGTGCCTTGAGCAACTATACCCCAAAACACTGGAACTCAATCCCTCCGCCTTGCCCCCTCCCTCCTCGAGTCCGGGTTTGTGAACATGTTTGAATATCCAGGGCTTGGAATCTACTCTGGTTGGTAAGCAGCTGATAGTCAACCTCCGCACCTTCAACTGGTGAAACCATCGCTGAACGGCCATGTGTTTCCACACTGTGGACAGGAAGTTGGTGGCAATGCTCTCCTGCATTTCATGCTGAGCTGTGTTGGTCACCAGGAAGCTTGTAGGGAGTTGCTGGTACCTGCTATCCACCTAGTGAGGGCTCTCTGCATCTCCCCCCGCCCCCCACCCAGTGAGGGCTCAAACAACAACAACAACTTGCATTTATGAACTTCTTTTCATCTACAATTCACAACATCCGCCAGGCAGCATCATCCACCTGCCTCTTGTCACCCACCACCACCCCCTCTCTGTCCCCCTCACCCTCCCCATCATCTGCTCCTACCACCACACCCATCCTACATTCCTTCCTACCCATCTCTCTCTCCTCCCTCTCACCCATCACCTCTATGAAACCCACCACCTGTTGTCTCGACCCTCTCCCCACCAACTTGCTGGTCACCCAGCTCCCCCTCCTCTGCCCACTACTAGCTGACATCATCAACCAGTCCGTCTCCTCCGGATCAGTCCCTGCCCCCTCAAACCTGCTGTCATCACCCCCCTCCTGAGAAAACCCTCCCTCGATCCCTCAAACCCCAGCCATTACCGCCCCATTTCTAACCTGCCCTTCCTTACCAAAGTCCTAGAACGCGTTGTTGCCAATCAACTCCGCGCACACCTCTCTTCCCACTACCTCTTCGAACCCTCCAGTCCGGTTTCCCCCCACAGTACAGGGACTGCGCTTGTGAAAGTCACAAACGACATCCTCTCTATCTGTGACCAGGGCTCCCTCTGCCTCCTTGACCTCCTGGACCTCTCCGCTGCGTTCGACACAGTCGATCACCATCCTCCTCCCCGCCTTTCCTCCATCATCCACCTCAGTGGGACCGCACTCGCCTGGTTCGAGTCCTACCTCACAAACCGCCAGCAGTACATCTGCACCAACGGCTTCTCCTTCCGCTCTCACCCAGTTACCTGCAGGTCCCCCGAGGATCCATCCTTGGCCCCCTCCTCTTTCTGATCTACATACTCCCTCTTGGGGATGTCATCCACAGACATGGGTTACATTTCCACATGTATGTGGATGACACCCAACTCTATTTGTCCACCTCTCTTTGCGCCCCCCCAGTCCCCTGATGTTCTGCCTGTCAGACCTCAGGGGCTGGATTAGCGCAAATTTCTTTCAGCTGAACGTTGACAAGACGGAAGCCATACTCTTCGTCTCCCGTCAACGTCTAAAATCTCACATTTCTCACCTCTTCCACCTTCCCGACCTCTCCCTAAAACTCTCCGAACTCTTACGCAACCCAGGCGTCAGGTTCGACCCCCAATTATCCTTCCTCCCCCACATCCAGTCCCTCACCAGCACCGCCTTCTTCCACCTCCGACGCATTGCCCGTCTCCGCCAATACCTCTCCCCAAAAGCCGCTGAAACCCTGGTCCATGCCTTTGTCACCTCTCGGCTGAACTACTCTAATGCCCTCCTCGCTGGCCTCCCCTCCACGACCATCCATAAAATCCAGATTATTCAAAACTCTGCGCCCGCATTCTCACCCGCACCAAACTCCGCTCCCCAATTACCTCAGTCCTCACCAGACTGCACTGGCTGCTTGTCCTAGAGAGGATCGATTTCAAGACTCTCACCCTTGTCTTCAAATCCCTCCACTCCTCTGCACCCCCCTATCTCTCTGACCTCCTCTCTCCTCAAAACAGTGCCCGTTGCTTTTGTTCCTCAGGGTCTGGCCTCCTCCTTGTCTCCCGAGTCCCCCGTTCCACCCTCGGTGGCCGTGCCTTCAACCACTATGTCCTGAGGCTCTGGAACTCCCTTCCTCACTCCCTTCGCCTCGCCGCTTCTCTTCCTACTTTCAGGTCTCTGCTGAAGACCTTTCTTTTCAACCGCGCCTTTGGTCACCTTCCTCCCCCTCCCCCCGGCTTAACACTTGACAAACCTGTGCTGTCAAGTGACAAAGTGGTGATTTGGTGTGTTGCTTAATCATGCTTAAGAGCATCCAAAACAAACAGAATTCCATGCAACCCAACATGGATATTCAGAAATATTCATTGGAATAGAATGCCCACTCTCTCCCTGGAGGGACGCACCCTGCTTATCTAATTCCAGAGAGCGTTAGGCACATGTTGGAAAGAGCCAAAGTTTGGGGAGCCCAGAGTGTACGTTGGGGAAATTGCTGGAGTTTAACCAGCTAAAACTGTGTAACTTGCCATTGAAGGCATTGGTTGACAAGCTTGTCCAGCTAGGACCATCCTACCCATTAGGGCTTTGGCTTGTAGGGTTACCAAGAGCTGAGAGGGAGAATTCTCTGCCTGCAGTGACCGGTCTGCCCTTCCCAGTAAGTAGAAACAATTTGGTCATTCAATCCACGACTGTTTGTGGGACACTTGGATGAGTGATTTTGCTTGGTAATTGGCTGCTGCGTTTTGCCCACAAAATATAGTAAATTCAACAACAACAACTTGCATTTATGTAGCACCCTTCACGTGTGGTAGCGTCCCAGAGTGCTTCACAGTGGGGAAGTCTGACAATGAGCCAAGGGGAGAGGGAGGGTGGAGGTGATCATAAGTATGATCAAAAAGGAAGGTCTTTTGGCAGGATTTGAAGTT